GTTATCTGTGGATTTATCTGTGTGTTTGGATGCATTCAGGATACGCTTGTTGTGGTTGTCAATAATTTGTTTAGTGTTATTCATGCAACTGTAGCTGATCTTGATGGTATTGCGGTTGAAGATTTTTCTGAGTTTGTTCTCTTTAGGAAAGTGTTTGTCTACTAGGGTGAGGAATCTGTGACCGATGTTGGTGTTGACGTTTTCGCTGAATGGGGGGTTATACCAGAGGATGTTGTTGCGCTATCTGTTTCTCCGTTTAGCAGTTGCAGTGGGTTCGTACTGTAGAGTGTAGTGGTATTCGCTTTCGTCGAGTGCTTTTTGGTATAGGGGGGTGCCTTGGTCAAATGATGCTTTGTCCGATGAAAGGGATGACAGCTGTCTGTTGATGCCGGCGGGTATATTCTTTGTGGTGATTGGTGGGTGGTTGCCCTTTCGCGATGGACGTACTGTAGCGTGGTATAATAAACTTGTATCTTCATGCTGCCACAGAAACAAAGCGTTACTACATAACAACTAAACATTTAAATTTAAATTTTCCCCAACAATGTAATCTCAAAGTATATAGTCGATGGTTATGAATATTCTCATCATTAAAATCCCCTGAAGAGTGAGCGATCACAAAACAGGCTTGTCGGGATGAAAGTGTAGTTTTTTTCCTATTTGCAATATTGCAAATAAATATTGCAAATATATATATATATATATATTTGTGGTTTTTTTGATTCTGGACAAAAACATAAAAGTTGTTAATCAGCAAGATCAATGAATAGTTCGGGAGATATGAGACAAAAGTGCATTATAATGTCAGTGCATGTGATGTGTCCTTGTGTTTGTACACAGCTGGGTTTTTAATATTCACACCAAGTTGCAACACTTACAGTTTTGCTTATTTTCTGCATTGATTGCAGGAAAATACAAGACCATCATCTCTGCAACAAAAACGGCAAAACGTCTACGCATGCGCCAGGTTGAGCATTTCTGGTCTCTTTTTCAATCACACTTGCCAGTCAGATCAAAGTCTCCCGCGTGCGTTCGGATTCATTCTGTGTGCAGCTTGTGGTTCAGTCCTTCTGCTTCATGCTGCTCGTGTTTTGACTATTTTGTAGTTATTGAAATTGCTTTTATGGATAACCAGGCACAGATCACTGAAACAATTAGTCGATTAAATTCAGAAAAGGTAAGATGATAATAACTCAGAGTGTAAAATTTTGACTAGAGCGTCAGGTAAACTGATTTTCATTCACGAAAACAAAGTTTCTGACTGTTATTTTTCACTTAACCCGGCTGAAGCAAAGACATAAAAAGTTATCATTGCAAGCTTGTGTATTTTAGTTCTAATTTTCAGTTCTTCAATTTCTCTGTCTACCTGTCTTAAAGCCGATTCGAGCTCTGTTTGGAAAACCACAACACACAATCGCTTTGTAGTTTTTTATTTACCAGTGAGTTTTACCTTGTTTTGAAACGAAACTCCCCTGAGTTGATTGCCATGAAACATAAACTTAATTATACTGTTGAGGTTGGCAGCAAGTTCATTCTCAGAATCAGAGAGCAAAAAATGGTTCGATGGCTTTTAGAAGTCGAACTTTTCATGCCACGTATTTAGCAGTTGAAATTTTCGTGTTTGCATGAGACGCAGCCGAGCCGCACAGTCTGAAATTATTGAAGTCTTCAACTAAAGAACAACCATGTAAAAGAATGAAATAGGCATTTTCTTGAATGAGAGTCATTTATAGGCATGTTTAGTTTCCCGGCACTGAAAACTCCGGGTGTTCGTGACTGCAGTCATCAAAGTCGAAGTTGTTATTAAATCCCGCCTATCTTTTGTTTTGAGTTCTTGTTTTCTCTGATAATAAAAAAATTATTAAACGGACTAAAATTTTAACTCCTGGTTTAAGCGTTAATGATAATGATGACGTCTTTATTTTGGTTTCTTTCATAAGTATTGTTATTCTTTTCTTAGTTGTCGCCTTCTCCCAAGTTAACTTATGCCAAACCAGAAGCATGCAAGAAAGCCAGTAAAAACAAAGTCCTCATGTCGAGCGCTCGCAACCTGCAAACTTCAAACATCATTTTCACCGTTGGTGCAAACAGATAACCATGTGGTGCAAAAGTTTGACGCTAGAAAAATATATAAGCTTTTGAATGAAGTGATTTTTTTCGCCCCCTTTTTTGTCTGTTTCTCCCTTTTTGCTTTTAAACTTGGTGCGACGGCGATGTTATGCTTACACAATTGGTTTACATACTAAACCTGAAAATAAAAAGCCGACCAGATGTCAAATTTTGTGCTCATGCGCATTGCGTTTTGCCGCAGTGTTCATCTCTGCAATCATCGTCCATTGCCATCACAGACGGCACTCATTGTGACATTGTGTCTTTTGCACAAACATTAAAACTTGTGGTGCCATCAAGTGTACGAGAGTGCCCTAGGAAAAATGAAGCAATCTCCAATCGGGCCAGACATGACGTCATAAAGTCCTCTCATGTCATCCTTCAGGCAATAATTGGGAGAGAATTACCTTCTCAGAGTGAATTTGAAGTGTGTACTCAAAGAATTGTTGTATTGCTGCCTGAGCTAAAGGATCCCATTCCACCAATTCGCCAGGATGCCTTTAAGCCATGGGTATGTGCTTGGTTGAGTGTACGAACTTGCAGCATTCTGTTTGGTATATTAATTGTTTAGTATATGTGATGTCAGATCAACACAAAAGCTTTGCTTAAGTATTAGTACTCGCTTAAAAATGTATTAGAGTTAAGTGCTCCATAAATGACTGTGATGTAAATGAATTTGCTTCCTAGTGTATCATAAACAAGATTTTAGTACTCTTATTGAACGACAGTTTGGGATTATAACTAAGCAAAATCCTCTGTTCACGCTACACTGCCTCATTGATAGAATGGGAAAACCTAGTGTACTTCTCATAAGGCATGTCATGACAGTATTTTCACTTAGTTTTTGCGTTACTCTAGAGCACAACCCTGATGCAACTTAAAAAGGCTTACTACAACCGGAAACCAGTAGAGAAGCCACGGAAAAATAAGGAAGCTGCATCCAGCCAAGAAATGGAGAATGTCTCTACTGAAGAAGGCCATGACAGTAAACTAAAAACAGAAATGAAGAGGGAAAAGCCAGACATTAAAACAATTTGCAGCCTCTTAAAAGCTTCTTTCAGTCACAGAAGGAAGTGGATCTGTAAACTTCAGGGTAAAGGAACGGTGAAGAAGATCTTGGAGGAGTTCCCAGGATTCAAGAATTGGCAACTGGTAATAGTGATTCAGCTGCATGAGATTGACCAACTGTGTACTGAATGTATTACTGTACTGTATATAAAGCTTTATTTCAAATAACCCAGTTCTATATTTCATGATATAATTTTTCCTATTGTCTTTTTGTAGCTCATGATACTGACATCATTAATAACTGAAACAAGACAGTACAAAGAGGCTTGGTTAAAAATGCTTCCTAAGTTGGGCGACTATGTAGAGGAGCATGCCCAAGATGTCTTGGAAGAAGAAAATGTTGAAAACTTCAAAGAAATTGGTGAAGGTAAGTTGACACAACATGGTAAAGACATTTTTGTAAGTGGGACAGTAATCAGGACTGAACTATGACATGGTTCTTTGAAACATTTAGTAGTGGCTTGGAGAAGTTATTATTTGGTCACACAGTAAATAAATGGAAGCATGGAGCAATTACAGTCAACTCTCTAATAACCTTCAACCATACACCACAAAGTGGTTAATTATGGGAGATGGTCACTTGAGAGAAGTGGTAGCTACAGTGTATATATGGGATAATTGACTGTACTTCAGAAACTGGCAATCCAAGATGTACATGTTGGCTAAGGTGGGATAATCAGTAGCAGTACTGGAATTGTTCCATGTGATTGGAAGATGACCCGTGTCGTTCCTTTATATAAGTCTGGTGGACATGCAAGTATGGACAACTACAGACCAATCTCCATATTGCCGGTTATGTCGAAAATTATGGAGAAAGCTGTCAACGTTTAATTACAACGGTACCTACAGAGGTTCGACCTTTGCAGGGTTTAGACAACACCATTCAACGGAGAGTGCTGTGCTCTATTTTACCGATGAGATAAGAAGAAGTGCAGAGTCAGGAAAATTAACAGGCGCATTGTTTATTGATCTAAGGAAGGCCTTTGATTCTGTGCCGCACAAGGAACTCTTATCCAAATTGAGAAGATTTGGCTTTGGAGAAAATTCGATTAATTGGTTTACAAGCTATCTATCCGACAGACTTCAAGCCGTTTCCCTGGATAACGAGTTGTCGAGTCCTTTAGCTGTCCTAAGTGGAGAGCCTCAAGGGAGTATCCTTGGTCCGGTTTTATTTACGTTGTATATTAATGATCTACCTTCCTGTGTTGATGTCTGTAAAGTTATTATGTATGCTGATGACACAGGTATCTTTTTCTCGGCTCCACTAACATCGGAAATTGAGTAACAGTTAAATTTGGAACTGATTAATCTGTCTGAGTGGCTGTCTACAAATAAACTTATTCTCAGTTTAAAGAAGACTGAGTTCATGGTTTTTGGCACCCACCAGAGACTATGTCGCCAAGACATCGATGGGGCTCATATAACGTTGGCAGGAGAATCTGTGAAACACTGTGATGCTTCTAAGTACCCAGGCGTAGTTTTGGACAACAGTCTTTCCTTTAACTTTATTGACTATGAGAAGAAGAAAGTTTCTTAAACACTGGGGATGTTCTCAAGAATTAGATCATCATTGACAACTGAAGCATCGAACCGATTGTATAAATCGATGATACTACCAAATTTGGAATACTGTTGTGCTGTTTTTCATCGCTGTGGTAAAGGAAATGAAGAAGAATTGGAACGCCTGCAGAGACGTGCTGCTAGGATAGTGCTAAAGACAGTGCATTTGTCCACTCAAGATATGGCTTCCAGTCTTGGTTGGGACCCTCTTAAGACGAGAAGAGAGAAACATATCGTCACACTTGTCAAGAATTGTCTTGATGGACAAGCTCCAAGTTATTTCTCAGGTTATTTTCGACGGCGAACTTATGATATTCATGACTATGACACTAGGTCTAAGGATAGGTTATCTATTGATAAAGTCAATCTCGAGTTGACTAAGAGGGCCTTTTTTATAAGGGGCTACCCTTTTTAATGATTGTATGTAGTTTTGTTCATAAGGAGGCTACCTTTTTTCATTGATTATAATTATGTAATGTATCCCAGTTTCGTATACAATTAATGTTCTTATCTTTTTATTCATATATTTTTATACAGGACCCAGTTACGGACACCTTTTTCGTGTCCCAAGGGTGTCCGCTTACGAGAGCTTCCACTCTATAACATTGCTTTCAGCCAAATTGTTTGAAACTGAATAACTCTCTGATTTTGTTCTTTGAATTACAGTGTATAAATTATTATCTTTCCCTTGCAGCGGAACAAACACTTATTGTGATGCTATCTCTGCCAAAAGCATGGGACATCCAAGAAAAGTTTATACACTTTGTGGAGGTAAGAATATTCTACATCCGTAAATACCGGTATATAATATACAATTTTAAACTTGATGGAATTTTTTTTTGTATATTTCCTTCAGTGGATATCATATGGTTATGACAACCAACTACCAAAACTAAATATCTACTAACTGTAAGTGCACCAAGGATGAAACTGCACCACAAGACATACATGCATTGAAAGGGCCCTTATGTTATAAAATAAGATATTGGCATCTTGTAGGATTTTCTATCAAAGAAAGTATCACCCTCATCACCGCAATCTGATCCTAAAGGTTAACAACAGAGGCTGATCAATTAATATGAATGCAGTAATACCATATTAGCTTTTCATTAATCTTTTTTATTCCCACGGTCAGTGATGGAGACATGCACTGTTTTGTTTTTGAGTCCTCCGATGAATTTTCAATACCACTGGGAATTAAACAGTTATTTTTTTTGTCAGTGCTACAATACTAATGTGATAAACCTTTTTCTCTAATAGGATGGTGACAACTTTGAAAGATTTATAAAAAAGGAGTTGAATGCAGAGTGCCATTTGGTAGCTGCAGATAGATCTGACAAGGTGCAGTTGTTCATCACCATAGACAACGAAGTAATTGTTGAAACAGACAGTTATTTGAATGGCCTTTTCTGTTTCTTTGGGGCACAACATGTCTTTAACTTGGAGTTTACAGAGAGTCTCAAATTGTGCTTCAAGTTTCTGGAGGAATATGTATTTGGCATACCTCAAAAAAAAGAGAAGTACACAATATCATAATGGTGTAGCAAAGCTTCTTACTTTAGCAGTTAGCTGAAACTAGTAACACCCTTTGACGCATTGGGAACGAAATTACACAGCAAGAAATTGTACGGAGGCGAAAACGAAAGTTTTGTTCAATTAACTTCTCTGTGTGTATGTTGTGGCCACTGTGAGATATCAGGGGGGAGGGAGGTGCCATCAGACTTTCAGGCTGTTGATTATCTGTGTAACACCGTTGTTCTGTGGGCTACAATAGCTTCACTAATGGATGGAGGTACTATAGCCTTTGTAGTCTCCATGCAATCTGTAGTCTGGGTCATTACAGAACATTTATTCCAGGTCCATGGACTCCCTTCAATTGGGCCGTGCATCATTTTCTAAAAGGTCTGAACCCTCTGCTAGAAATAGTGTTCTTAACACATAATACATTTTTTTCAAGCTTGAGGTTGTTTTATAGCAAACTTGGCTGTTATATTCCTTTAAGTCTCAAGATTGCATGATCAACATCAAATTTGTTCTCATTAGATGAATTCATGTACAGTTATGACAAGATTATTAAGGAAGCAATCACCAAACAGAAATTGTATTGAAAATTTTTTTTACTTCTCCCAACTCGATTGTAGGAGTATAGGAAATGTACAAGCTTAAATGTATAGGATTAAACCTCAGTTATATTTGTGTTCTCATCAGCTCCCTTTATAGTTAGTCACTATTTTAATAGTGACTTAAGCAACTTTGGTCATGGAAACAATTAAGGTCACTGAGTCTAGATCTCCTGAATCAATATTTTTCAAATTCATTTTCTGATTCTTGATACTATTTAAAATTAATGATCCATTTATAATTTATTTATTAACAATAACAGATCACTGAACTTGAAGCTATTGCAAATGAAAATGAATGTCCAATCCAAGCCAAAAAGCCTTGTAAACCACATGTAAGCAGTAAAGTGCAGAATAATTGCAGTGAGAAGCTTGAGCACCTATCAAGATTCCGGCTATTATGAAGGAAAAAAAGACTGTCGCTGCACTAAGACCAATACATTGTGGAAGCAACATGTCAGTCTCTGATGACCAATCTGTGCAAGATGGGTTATGGACCACATTAATTGGCACAACTTCAAAACAAGTGATGGAAACTTATATCGCCAATTCAGCAGTTTGCATGAATGATATTATACCAAAGATTGTTAAAAGGAGAGTTCAAGAACATGAAAAAAGTGACAAAACCAGCTTAGGAGCATGCGTGTGTTGTATGAAGGGGGGATGGTAAGCAAGCGGAAGTACACTAACATACGAAACAGCAGCGATGTGATGAAACAATCTCCAGATCAATCAGGTAAAAATAAGAAATCACAATTTATGCAAAGCTGTGAAATTCCCAAGATCCTTCTGCACAAAACTCGGATGAGTTATATCAGGAACATTGACCTTGGTGAGGTTTTACCTTTGGAGATTCTAGCAGAAAAGCTTTCTACAGAATAAGTTCCCGGCGTGTACAGGCCCCTTAAACCTTTCCTTTTAAGGCTCGCTGACATGTACCTGACACGCCATGAAAAAGACCCCTGTCTTCAGTGGTTCAATGGAGAAGAGGGGGTGCTGTATGTGGCAGTGGGGGCAGATGGTGCACCACTTGGTAAAGACGATACTGCCACTGCATACTTGGTCAGTTTCCTGAACTTATTACAAAGAGTGCAAAGCTGCAACGATAACCATTTAATTCTGGGGCTAACTGCGAAGAAGACCATGCACTCATGAAGTCATACACAACCACCTGAGAGAAGAAATGGAAGAAGTAGAAGGAAAGCAACTGACCACTGAACGAGGAAAACAAGTTGTGTTCCAATTTGAATTAATTCCATCAGACACAAAGTGGATGTCATCCCACTCAGGAGAACTGAACAATTGCGCAACCTATTTTTCGCCATTTGCTAATGTTAATCAAACAAGCAAGAGAACCATAGGTGGTACTATTGGTGGCCTTGAAGCTACATGGCAACCATGGGATTACACAAAGAGACTGGTCATGGCAGAGAGAGTTGCGAAGTTGAAGTCAAAACTTCGAGATCCCATGGGGAAACAAAGAAATGAGGTCACTAAATTCATCGCTCAAAACAAGTCTAGACAAGAATTTGTACCTCCATTAGGAAAGTTTGTGGATTTACTCAAGGCTGAGCGTCTACACAACACAAACAATGCTTGGCAGAGCTGGTTTTTAACTGCACTTGCCATTGTAATGCATTACACACACCAGAATCACCTCAAGGCAGTAACAGCAGTTTCTGATCTTCCAGACAGTTCCCCCCTACTTACATTTCTGAAGTGCCTGAAAGACACCCTCAAGTGTGGGAGGCTGTACAAGGCCTTTCTGCGGTGGTTCAGTGAGAAGCAGAAGAAGGGAATTTCATTCTCATATAGATTCACAGGACTTGAATCAAAGTACTTCTGTTGGCAATTTGCCACTTTGATTCAGAAACTTCTGAAGATCCCCACTCTTTCAAAGGGACATGTTCTGAAAGTGCACACATTGTCATTCATTGGTCTCAAATAAGAGATGCAGTTTCCATTTACTCATGAGTTGAGGTAAGCATAGAGCAAGTTGAAAATTTAAAGGTTTTGTGCCAACAGTTTGTTGCTTACCAACGTCACCCCTACCGTGTGGACAGTAGGAGTAGCCATCGCCTACCACTCTAGCAAATTGCATCAGAAGCTTGGCTATGGAAGGCACCTTGTCCCTCAGGCGACCTTACAACTAATGTATCAAGCTTTAATACAGCCACACTTTGATTATTGCAACATTGTTTGGGGAAACTGTGAAATAACTTTACGGAATAAGGTTCAAAAGCCACAAAACAGGGCAGTCCGTGTTTTGACCTACTCAGGCTATGACGTAGATGCTGGTCACCTTTTCAAACTTCTAGGGTGGAAAAACTTAGCTTGTCAGCAACAAATTCAAAGAGCTACAATAGTTTACAGGTCTGCACGGGTTGGCTCCAAACTATCTTAGTTCTAAATTTGAAAGGCGAGAAGTCGCATTTAACCTAAGGGACTCTGAAAATAAACTCAATGTTCCATTACCGCGCACAACTATTACGAAAACAGCTTCAGCTATAGTGGCGCCATTCTCTGGAACAGTCTTCCTTGTAACTTAAGGGAAGCAGAGTCCCTTGGGCAATTTAAACGATTACTCAAAGAACTGTAAGGCACAGCGTTCGTGGAAAGCAGCTTCTTTATTTAAATATTTTTATTATATTAGTATTAGGCATTTTTAAAGCTGACGAAGTTTGTACCGTGGATNTCTGCACGGGTTGGCTCCAAACTATCTTAGTTCTAAATTTGAAAGGCGAGAAGTCGCATTTAACCTAAGGGACTCTGAAAATAAACTCAATGTTCCATTACCGCGCACAACTATTACGAAAACAGCTTCAGCTATAGTGGCGCCATTCTCTGGAACAGTCTTCCTTGTAACTTAAGGGAAGCAGAGTCCCTTGGGCAATTTAAACGATTACTCAAAGAACTGTAAGGCACAGCGTTCGTGGAAAGCAGCTTCTTTATTTAAATATTTTTATTATATTAGTATTAGGCATTTTTAAAGCTGACGAAGTTTGTACCGTGGATAAATAAAGACTATCTATCTATCTATCTGGATCCGCCAGTGAATATCAAGTATTGTTATATAGCTGGGATTTCTTCCCCAATTGCATGCAGTCTTATTGGTTACTTCAAGGTCATGTGATATCTAACAATAAAATTGTTTCCTGCCAAAAGTTTCTGAGTGGGCAACATTGCAAAATCTATGACGTCAGTGGGTAACAGTGCACTGTTACCCGCAAATGTTGACCGACGACCGCCATTTCGATTTGTTTTCACATTGCGTCTCCTAATGTCTTCATTTTGCTATATATTAAAAAAATCACTTAAAGACTGGTCCCTCGGGAAACAAAATTAAGGTATCATCCACCCTCAACCACCCTCCGCGCGTTGATCGGCGCTAGCGCTTTTGCTTTTAACAAATACCCCCATAAACCGTACATTTTCTGAAAGCTTAATAGTTCCAGATTATTGCTTATTTCTTTTAAAAAATCAAAATGTTAACGTGATTTAGAAATGAGAAGCCTTAAGCGAAAGTGGGTGTCACTGTAAATTTGAGTCCAGTCAAGCCAAAAATTAACGGAAGAAGCCAATTAAGAACGCATTCGCTTCTTAACACGTTTGACTAAAAAACCGTGTCCAGATTTTTGTCAAGTGTGTTTGTTCTGTTGTTATAAGCAGGTGAAGTTAGCAATAACAAATCATTAGCACTACCTGTGAAAAAAATACTCTAACTCGAAAATGAAAAGAGAAATCAAAATTCGCAGACACGGGTTTTTAGAAAAACTATCTGACAGTAATTTGGCCAAATTTCAGCCAAATTGGTTCGCGGGCTGCCGACATGGAGTTTAAAATGTACCCTCAACTTGCCCTGATTTTCATTTCGAGAAAACAGTGAAAAAAGATTTTTACCGGCGTATTACCCGTGATGAGATTATAACAGATTATAACACCAAAGCTCTGCATACCAGAGAAGGGACAACAGTAGTGACACAGCCGGACAAGTTGAAAACGAAACCCGACAACAGATGAACAATCTGTTTCAAAGGCTCTGCACCGTTCGACCCTTTCTGTTGTCGAGAAAGCTTCGTTCGTTATTTGCAACGGGCAGTTTTCATTTTCGCACCAGTCAAGCCAAGTTGAGCCAAGCCCACTTTTACTCCATACATTTTTTACAAGTTAGACACTTCCCTGGAAAAATCGGCAGCAAACCGCTTCCCGGAGTTTTTCTTGAAGCTTCTTTCCCGCTACAATAGACTTTCAAAACAGTACTTTGTCCGATTTTTATGTGGCGCGGGACCTCTCGTGACTTTGTCTCTCCCTTGGCTGCTTCGCGGCCTAAAAAGCTCGCTCTGCTCGCTAACGAACTCGTGAAACTCGATTCCGCGGTAGTTTCAATGGGTTTTTCGGGAGCTTTGTCATCTTTTAGCCATTTTTCTTGATTGTAGTAGGCGCTCTTGTCGCTCTCTGCTAATTTTGAAGCCCACTCTTTCGCGGTAAAACGATTTTGTCGTCTTCTTTTGTCTTAGAGGCGAGGACGAAAACGGACAAGCTCTTTTTTCTTCTTTGAAGGAATTCACTTTCAAACTCCAGGGGAAAACAGTGAGCACTATACTTGTAAACCACGATTTCTGTCAAATTGATTAGCTTGGTTCCACAGCTGCACGTGTATCAAGTATGACAGGACTTGTCAACGATCAATTAAAATAATTAGAGAAAAAACTTTTGCACTCCATAAGTCTGCACAGAAAAAACATTTTTTCCTGGAATTTTTTTTAAAACAAAGCTCTTGATGAGCTCTATTTAATCGTCTAAAAATTGCAAATTTAGAAAAATGATTTTTTTACCCTGGATGATACCTTAACTGTTTCCCGAGGGACCAGTCATTAAGTGTTTATTGGTCTGCTGTTCTTGGGCCACAAATGGTGTATAAAAACTCGTGTTGGAGGTCATACAAGCCTGTCACCTTATTATCATTGCTTATTTTTGTTATTGTGATAAAACAGCTCAAGTTTCAACTGCACTTTTTCCACATCGAGAATTAAGAGTAAGTGAGTCAATGAGTCACAAGTCATGCGTCAACCCTATTCTTAACCTAATCCTTGAAACCTCACTCTAACAAGCCTGCATGGCAGGCATTAAAAGGGGAAGGGACAGGGGGAATTTCCAAACTCTAACTTTAACCCTAAACCTAACCCTAACCTGACTCATAACCTGACTTGTTACTCATTGACTCATAAAACAAGCTTTCTCATCTGTTTTTGGCATGCATATTTATCCATCTTAGGATCACTCTCGTGAGCAATCAGCTCTATTTAGGACCTTCACCCCCACGGTAAAGCATTCAACTAGACTTGTCATTTTTTGTTTCTCAATTTATAATTATGGGCTTTGGATTTTTTTGGGTTCTGAAAAAATGTTTAAAGGATTCTAAATTAAAATTGTGATGACTGTTTACCCAACCTTCATGGATCGCAGATACATAAAATTACTAGCTGTAAAT